GAACTATTACTAGTACTTTACTTATTATACTAAATAAAAGTCTAACTATTATTATTAAACTTTTTAGCCTAATTAATCTTATTTCTTCTAAATAAACCTATTATATAAGATCTAATAAATTATATATAAATATTTACTAAGGTTAAGATAATTAAGAAAAAATAGGCCTAATATCTAATATACTTTTTCTTATATCTTATAATTAGCTTAGTACTATTTTAGATCTTATTTTTTTATAAATATATATATATTTGGAATTTATAATTAATACTTTAAAGTAATATTCTTTAATTAGTTCTTATATAATTTAAAAGTCAGGCTACTAAATTTAATACTTTTATAATACTTAAATTTATTCAAGTTTATAAAGTCTTATAATTATTAAGGCCTTTATAATTCTTTGCCTTTTGAGTTTAATACCTAAACTATATTATATACTTTGCCTTTAGTATAAAGGAGGCTTCTAAAAGTCTAGGGTTATAAAGGAATTTTTATATTAAGGATATATTAAGAATATATTATATTATAATAATAAAATTATAGGTATTTATATATAAATATATAATATATTAGACTAGTTATACTAAAAACTATATTATATTTATATATAAAGTTACTAATTATTTTATATTAATACCGGACTTATATAGTTATATAACTCTATATAATTAGCTAGCTATAGAAAAGCCCTAAAGCCCGAAACTTATAAAAAGTCTTAAGGGCTTTAGGGCTTTTAAACTATTACTAGTACTTAGTATTCTTTAGAAAAAAAGTATAATATGTTTTATAATAGGTAACTTATTATAGACTACTTAATCTTTAAGTTAAGCGGGAAATCTAAGGGCCGGGCTTATAATTCAAGTCTTATTAAGGTTATTAAAGTCTTTACTAGCTAGTATTATAGATTTAATATAAATATTACAGGAATCTTATAGATTTTATCCTAATTTATCTAGAAAGTATATATAGTATATTCCTATATTTGTTTTATTAATATTTATATATAATTCCTAAAAGCTAAACTATTACCTAAAAAGGAAGTAAGAAGGCTAGACTAATATCTTTAAAAACCAAGGCCTTAATAAGTCTATTTAGAAAAGCTTACTAATTCTTTTAAAAATAACTCAAGCTTTAATAAATTAGAAAATTTTAAGTTTATTATATATTATAACTTATATAATTAGAGATAGGAATTTGAGTTTATTATATGAAATTATCTAGATATAGAGACTCTTATTATAAACTTCTTATTTAAATTAATTAGTTAAATCTATTTTTAATACTAAGTTTTTATTAAAGTAATTTCTTATTTCTAGAAACTTTAGATAAAGTAGCTAATAAGTTTCTTAGTTATTAGCTAAGACTTATTAGCTAGAAAATTTATAAGTAATAAATAAGATTATAAAGCAGAACTTTCCTAATTATAATATTAAGATATTTTATTATAATATAAAGTAATTAGATATAAAAGCCTTATTAAATATAATATATCTTAAATTATAAGTTTATAAGATAAATATAAAAAATCTTAATACTTAACTAGTACTATAATCTAGCCTAAAAGCGCCTGCTATTCTTTATATCTAATTTAATAGAAATAAGAAATATTTATATTTTAACTCGAGAAATAATTAGGACTTTTATATAAACTTAGGATAGTAATTTGCTTTATAAAAAGAAAATAAACTAGAAATATTTATATTATATTAATTTTTAGAAGAAGTTATAATAAATATTATAATTCCTGAAATACTTTTAAAAAAGCTTTCCCGAACTAAAGTAGGCTAGTTTATAATCCCGAAAGATTTATAGAAGTCTTATATACCTAAAAGTATAAGTACTTAAGGTAAATACTATTTGAGTTCTAACCTATAATAAAAGAAAAGTAAAGTATATAAAATAAAATATATAAAGTAAAAATAAAATAAAATACCCGGATATTTAATAAATAAAAAGCCTAATTATAGGTTATAAGAACTAGTACTAATTAGGTAAATATATAGTAATATTAAAAGAGAGATAAGGTAAGAGAAACTAAAAAGTAAGTTAGTATATATTTTATAAAAGTAAATAAAGAAATATCTAAATAGCCTAAAGGCAAGAAATATATATTAAAGAAATTAAGATTAGAAAGGAAAGAGCTATTTCCTATAAGAATAAATTAATATATATTCTAAGATAAAAAATAGGAGTATTTAATAATAGTCTAAAGGCTTTTATAAGTATTAAAGAAAGAAAGGAGATATTAAAGTTTAAAGAGATCTAAATAAAAGTTAGCCTCTTTTTTAGAAGTTCGAAAGAAAATACTCCTAAAGAACCTAAAGATATAAGAGATATTAGAAAAGGAAAAAAGGAAATATTAGAAAAGAAGAAAAGAAATCTAAAATTTAGCTTTTTAAGAAGTAAGTAGGTTAAAAACTTATAATATAGGAGTTCTAAATAAAAGTAATCCGGAAGTAGTAATTAGGTACTAGCTTTTAGTATTATTAGTAGAAGTATTAAAAAAAGAGGAATTCGGAAAAGGAATTTAGAGAAGGGATTTTAAAGAGGGATTTAGAGAAATTTGGAAAAGGAAAGGAAGATTATAAGGTAATTAGATACTAGCTCTTAGTATTAATAGAAAAAGTATTAAAGAAAGAAGGATTTAAAAGAGGAGTTCGGAAAAGGGATTTAGAGGAAAAGTAAGGAGAAGTAAGGAAGAAAAGAGAAAAGTTATAAGGTAATTAGATATTAGCTTTTAATATTAATAAAAGTATTAATAAAGAAAGTATTAGTAAAAAGTAAAAGCTTTTAGTAATAATAGTAAAGTCGAAAAAATATAAAAGAAAAATAAAGGTTTTGGAATAAAGATAAAATAAAGTTATAGTTTTATAGAAAATAAAATTACTAATATAAAATAATTATATTATTATATAATTCTATATTTATTTTTATTATTTATTAAGAATATATATTTCTTAGAAGAAAGTATTATTTAAAATTCTTAAGTCTCTTTAATTTAATAATTATATATTTAAAAAATAAGAAATAAATATAATTATATATATTAGAATAAGGGAATTCTTCTTATCTAAAAATTATAATTATAGTATTACTAAATATAGAAATATAGAAGTTTATATAATAAGCTATATATAAAGATTTAAGGAAATTTAAATTACCTCGAATTATTTATAATTAGTAAAGTAAATTAGCTAATTATATAAGTTAAATATAATTTAATTATTATTAGTATATCTTAGCTTTTATAAGTTAGTAAAAAAAAAAAAAAAATTTATTTTTATTTTTATAACTATAATACCTAAAATTATAATTTTTTTAATATTTAAATATATTTAATTTAGGGCTATTAAATACTAATATTTCTATTTTTAGGTATTATTTATTATAAATTTATTCGGATTTAAATAATTATATTAAATATATATCTTTATATTCTAAAAATAAATAATAAAGATATAGCTATACTAGCTTTAATCTTAGCCTTAACTTTAATCTTAATCTTTTTCCAAAAATAACTTTAATTCTAATATATAATATTATTATTAAAGCTTTTCTTTATTAAAAATATATTAAATATAACTTTAGGTAATAGCTCTAGTAAAGGCAAAAGTAGTAGAAAAGATAATAAAGCTATAAATAAGTAGAAAGATAATATTTATAATATATTCTTAAATAATCTAGACTTAGTCTATAATATCTTTTCTTATTAATATATTTAATTAATAAATTTCTTTATTTCTCAACCTCTTTTTTATATATAACCTCTTTTTTCTCCTTTATAATAATACTTTAATCTCCTTATACTATCTAATAATACTACTAAAATAGTAAAGCAAATTAATAATAAGACTAAAGTTAGAGAGATAGAGCTATACTAGGGCAGGAAGCTAAAGGAATTAGAGAAAGGCAAGGCAAATCTAGAGGCAAGCTTAGTATATATTTATAGAACCGAATTCTTTTAAGCTTATATTACTTATAGTAATAAGAAGAGACCGAGGGATTCTTTTAAATACTATATAGTTATAGAAAGCAAATTTAATAGTACTTATATAAATTATAAATATAATAATAATAGTAAAGTCTATACTTTCTATTAACTTAATACTAATCCTATTAAGTCTGGAAAGCCTTACTCCGTATCTGTAAAACCCTTTATACTAAAGCCTTAACTACCTATAAGATATAGAAAGCGAGTATAAAGACAGATACAAGGTTAGAAGGCAATAGGGAAGGAGATTATAGCAGAGGAGAGTAAGAATACTAGAGGAGAAGGGAATAAAAGAGATATAAATAATTCGAGTAATATAGGTAGTACAGAGGATATAGAGAGTGAGGGAGATGAAGATGTGCCTCGTAATCCATGGGATTTGCCTTACGGACCACGCAAGCTAAGGGGGGTTAGGAGTAGTCGAGAATAAGGCGTATATACTATACTTTTTTTTTTTAGTGAGGTGTGGTGGGGGGGGGGGTGTGGGCGCGAAAATCAGAAAATCACTTTTCGCTTCTCGGATTTGTCCGCTAGCCCGCTAATGGCCTCAGTACATATGCAGCATCGCAATTAGTGATGCTAGCATGGGACATGAGACATCAATTCCTTCGCCCACTCAGCGTCTGGAGATCTTCGGCGACGACACTCCGCAGCCTTATCTCAACTTCTTTCTCGATGTGGATATTTTTAGGATCGAGATTAAGCTCTTTCTAATCAGGACTGCGCCGCAAGCCGGGGGGGGCTATCACAGATTGCAACGTTAGAGCCGTGAAGCTCCCCTTGTCCAGCTTCCAGATGCGTGGCCGGGGGGAGACTGTCAAAATTTATGAGAGGCACAGCTCGCACGCTCAAGTTTTCCATGTCGTCCCCATCTTTCCTTCCATTTCTGTGATCATTCCGAGACCTCACAAACTCTCTACGCACAATCGCAATCATGTCCGCAATTCACACACTCGGCATCGACCATGGTGTCGCACCTGAACCTCAGAAGCCCATAGGAAATGGGCCCATGCGCACAGCATACCAGCTCCATCAGTCCGTGGACCCAACTATTCTATTCGAAGAATACCTCCATTACGCAAAAATCACGCGCCGGGAAGAGCGAGAGGCGGAGAAGGCGATCGAGAAGAAATGGTCCTTCAAGCGAATGATTAAAAATAGATTCAGCAAGGGGCAGACGGGTACTGTCATCGAGGTAGCAGTTCGGCAGCTATCTGAACTGGACGGAGAGAAAAATGAAGAAACAACAGTAGAAAGGGGGGACCCGTTCGATGCTTTCAATAATCTGACATACTCGCATCCGAGTCACGTCTCCGACGCCGAGTGGAAGGCATTGAGTCGGGGTGTGAGAACTGTTGAATGGAGCACATGTTTCTATCTCATTACCAGCGATATCATTGGACCCTTCGGAATCCCGTGCGTCTTCTTCAAGCTTGACTCGAGTCAAAGCTGACTTGTGTTTAGATGGGCCTTCTCACAGCTCGGATACGGTCCCGGAGTTGCATTTTTCACGCTTTTTGGATCAGCTGCTGCGCTGTAAGACACCCCGATAGCCATCACTTTGGCAAGTACACTGCTGACATTGTCGATAGAGCTGGGTTCTACCTTTGGTGGATTTTCATCGAGATGGATTCCGACCGCTACCCCCTTCGTGACTACGGAGCTGCCTTTTTTCGCGTATTTGGCCCAAAGTCTCGTCATATCATCAACGTCCTACAATCGCTCCAAATGATCTTGACGCTGGGTTCTCTCATTCTCGGGATGGGCCAATCGATTGCTCAGATCTCTCAAGGAACCAGCAAACCCCTCTGCTTTGTTATCTGTCTGCTAATCTTCGTGCTACTTGGCATTGGACTTGGCCAAGTTCGGACTCTGCAAAGACTGGGCTGGCTCTCGAATTTTGCAGTGTGGATGAATGTTCTAGCTGTAATAATCTGGTATGAGCGATGACCTCAGTCCACACTTGTGCAGAGAGAAATCGCTTCTAACCTGGGAATAGCATGGGTGTCATTGCACACTCGCCGCCAAACTTTGAAGCCACTCAAGCTTCATTTGGAGACAATTTCGTCGAAGGCCCAATCCGCACATTCGCTGGTTTCCCACCCGAAGAGTATGCCAGCGGAGGGAAAGGTCTCATTGCCGCTATGAATGGCATAAATCAGTGTGTGTACGCCTTTGCAGGAGCAATCCTCTTCTTCAACTTCCTCGCAGAAATGCGCAACCCCTGGGACTTTTGGAAAGGCCTTGTATGCGCACAAGTCTTCCTCTTCCTCTTTTACATCATGTTCGGCATATATGTCTACTCTTTGCAGGGCCAGTTTGCGTTCAATCCGGTTCAGCAAGGTCTGAGTCTGTATAACTACCAGACGGCCGCGAATATTTGCTACATCATGACTGGATTCATTGCGGCAGCGATGTATGGAAATATTGGCATCAAAGTCATCTATAACAATGTTTTCCAAGAGCTTCTCAGCGCGCCACCACTCACGGTCGTGAAGGGCAAGATCATTTGGGTGTTCATGGTGCCGATATACTGGGCAATTGCTTTCATCATCGCCGCGTCTATCCCACAATTCTCATACCTTACAGGATTGTTGAGCGCAATGTGCTTTGTGTCGTTTACATACACATTTCCTGCTCTTCTGGCTATGGGTTTCAGGATCAAGAAGGACGCCATGCTCCCAGATGAGTCGTTTGACGAGACGACACTGAAGTATACTCGCCATGACGATGGTATGCAGAGATGGACCAGGGGTTTCTTGAAGCATTGGTACTTCAATGCCTTCGACGCACTATACTTGCTGGCGAGTCTGGTAACTGTTGGACTCGGAAGCTATGCTGCTATTGAAGGGCTTATTTCGAGTTTTGATGGTACTAGCGTTGCGACCAGTTGGGGATGTACTGCACCGGTGTAATTTTGCGAATATAACGTGCTTGAATACCCGGAAGATAGACGTATTATTTTACAACTGACTCTAAGCCTCATTGGGGCCGTTTCCTGGTCTATACCAAGTAGCAGTTAAATGATGCATGTGACGAAAATGGTCTGTACCTTCGACTAAGTGTAGCCCGGGCGCTGGTGGGAGGAGTGTGCCGTTTCACTCGGTTCTATTGGCATGCTGTCCGTAAGCTCAAGACTCTTTGTCCTTTTGACTTCGCTGCCATGGCCAATCATTTGGGGTTAAATGACTAGGTAGAGGCAAACCTTTTCTGGGAGCCCATCGAAGGGGGGCCGATTTCGCTTGATTACGAACACGATTTCGTTGGGAACACTTCACGAATTCATCCTTCCAAAAGAGTCGGTCTTCTCTTTTTTCTCACTTCTGTATTCAGTTCAATATCTATTAATCGTATTAGTTTAGTCTTTGTAATGATTGAACTCGCAGTTGCCCGAATATTTCGAAGTGTTCCGGGCGTCCGGGAAGGGGTTCTCGGGAATACGCGTTTCAGCCAGGGCCCCCTGGATTTCGGTTCCGAAGCCCCCTATTTCGCTATCCGATGGCAAGATTAACGCAAAGACAAACCAGCCGAGCAGCCGACTGAAACATCAGCTGCGAGGCCAATTTAACAGTAAAAAGACTTCCGACCGCGATGGAAACCATGGTGAGAAAACAGCTTTTTTCAACCTCTACCAACTTCCCATCTGATAGACTCCACCATGGTTCAACAAAGTACTTCAGACGATACGGCTGAAAATGGGGATTTGATTCAGCAGCCAACTCAAGATGTGGAGCGTGCAATCACAAATGAGAAAGCAGGGCAAGTACCACTATCAGCAGCAGCAGAAGATGACGAAGGAAAACTCTATCCTCCAGCACGAAAGGTTATTGTAGTTATGGTTGCTTTGTACCTCTCCTTATTCCTTGTATCTTTAGTGAGTTCTCGCTCTATGTCCGACATTCACTTCTCCTCAGTAGCTCACTAATTCGCTTGTTAGGACCGCACAATCATTGCCACAGCCGTTCCTCAAATAACTAACGTCTTCCACTCGATCGACGACATCGGCTGGTATGCAAGTGCCTACATGATCACAGGATGCGCTTTCCAGCTCCTCTACGGCCGAATTTACACCTTCTACTCCCCGAAATGGGTATTCCTCACTAGCGTCTCGATCTTCGAACTCGGGTCTCTCATCTGCGGCATCTCGAAGAACTCCCTCACATTCATCGTCGGTCGTGCCATCGCTGGCCTCAGTTCGGCAGGGATTTTCTCGGGCAGTATTGTTTTGACTGTGCATATCATACCTTTGCGCAAGAGGCCCGTATATCAGAGTCTCATGGGCGTTGTGTTCTTGGCTTCGAGTATCGTGGGACCGGTTATTGGGGGTGCTTTTACCACTCATTTGTCTTGGAGATGGTGCTTCTACATCAACTTGCCAATTGGAGGCGTGATTTTGCTTCTGTCGTTTTGGCTTCTGCCTTCGGATAACAATAGGACTAAGGAGGAGATCGAAGCAGCGAAGTTATCGATGAGAAAAAAACTTGAGCGACTTGATCCGATTGGAACGTTATTTTTTCTGCCGGGAATCGTGTGTCTCTTGCTTGCACTTCAACTGGGCGGTTCGACGTATGCTTGGAATGACGTTCCCATCATCGTGCTTTGGGTCGTCTTTGGGTTGCTAATGATCGCTTTTGCGGGGGTGCAGGCGTGGAAGCAGGAAAATGCTACCCTGCCTCCGGCAAATTATAAAAAGGACCCCCCCCTTCTACTAAAAAGGACCCCCCTAAAATTTTAAAAAGGACCCCCCCCCTAGATAGCCAAAACCACCAAAAAAAGAGTTAATGCACGCAAAGATCGCAAAGTAGGGAGTTGCATTTCTCATAAATAGAGTTAATTAAAGCTAGCTAGAAAAGAACTCAAGTGAAGCGTGAGAACTGACTAAGCGAAATGATCGTACTAGACTAAATCCAGAGATCACACGGTAATAGTACTATAATAAGAGCCTTATATTTAGTAGTATCTGCTTTGGTTTCTACTAGGTCCCTTAACCTCTTAGCTAGGGTCCTTACTTTTAGCGTAGGAATAATCCTGGGCTCTAGGGGGCTCATAACCAAGCCAGATCCCGTGACTTCAAGGGACTTTACAAAAAACTCCCTATTCCGCCTTATTAACCTACCCCAGATTCTCGATTCGGATTACGATATTAGCTAACTAGTATTAACTTCATTAAGCTTAGAGCTTATAATAGCTCTTAGGCAAAAAGGGGGGCTTATCACGTGCTATCTCTCTCAAAGATCATGAAAAATACTACTTCCTTCTAATATTTTTGTATACTCGTCTTATGAAACTATTAAATCTAAGTCTAATAATTACTTCTCAAAGCTCTATATATAATTCTAGGGGGGGGGTCCTTTTTAAAATTTTAGGGGGGTCCTTTTTAGTAGAAGGGGGGGGTCCTTTTTATAATTTGCCCCTGCCTCCTCGAATCCTGCGATACCGAAGCGTGACCGCCAGCACATGGTTTGCATTCTGCATCAGTGGGTCAATGACGGTCATAATATACTTCTTACCTGTTTGGTTCCAGGCCATCGAAAGAGTCAGTGCCATTGAATCAGGCATCAGAATCCTCCCCCTGATCATTGCTCTCCTGGTTGCAAGCATCATTGCTGGGGGGACCGTCAGTGCCTTGGGTTACTATACACCCATGTTGATAGGTTGCTCCATCATCATATCTGCAGGAGCGGGGATGATGACAACGTTCAAAGTCGACACTGGCAAAGCGATATGGATCGGGTACCAAGTCATTTTCGGCTTCGGCATTGGACTCGGTCAGCAACAAGCGGGGTTGGCTGCTCAGACAGTGCTCCCCACCGTTGATGTTCCCGTTGGTGTGTCGCTCAAGTTCTTTGGTCAGTCGCTGGGAGGTGGAATCTCTGTGTCTGTTGCACAGAATGTTCTCAGCACGAAACTCGTATCTGGCCTGGCTGGTCTTCCGAACCTGGACCCGCGGGTCATTGTCAATTTGGGCGCAACCGAGCTGAGAGATTATGTCGGACTTGAACACCTCGGAGAGGTTTTGCGAGTCTACAATCATGCACTTGATGAGGTGTTTATGGTTGCTGCCATTGTCGCAGCTATGTCGATTCTTGGGGCAGTACTGACGGAATGGAAGAGTGTCAAAGGGAAGAATCTCAAGGGGGTCCTGTAGAGTAGTTTGTACAGCCATCCCCAAAAGCACAATGCTAACTCACACGTTGTCTGAATGCAATTAGACTACTCTTGCTTGGAAATACTCTGGGATTACTTACCCGAAGCCTCATTTATTCTCCTGTTAGTGTGCAAAAATCCTCAGAGAAGGAAATATAAATTAGTTCAAAACAAATTCCTGCGTTTCTACATCTAAATTCTTTGCTTCCCTTTATCCTAAAACCATGTAAGTAGCAGCCCCGACGAATTTATACTGCCCACCTCCACAGGGCAGCAGAACGTAGGGTATATATGTCCGCCATAAAAGACGCATATTATGACCCCGACTTTTGCGTTATACGGCATGGGGCCCAGGTATCCATTGGCGGTAGAGCAGAAGCGCCGACCCCAAAATCTTTGACATAAAGAAGCTTCAATCTCTTGAAAAATGAATCTCATCCTATGTAACCAATCCCCCTCTTGGGCGACCCCGGAAGAAACGACGTTACAGATATCGAGGTACTCAGCTACTAAAGAACACTCTTCTAGAGAAAGAGTCCTAAGCCTATGTATCATATCAGGCCAAGTATCCTATAGTAGAGTACGATGGGATTGTTCAAGCCATACTTCTGATACTGGAAAGTCTATGTCATCTGAGAGACACGCGATGTATTTGCAATACCGGAACCATCCCATTGTAGCAGTATAGGTAATTGCTTTCGGGCACGTGATTTAGTTCAGTGTTGACGGCGCGTTCGTCATTCATCTTTCCGGTATTTTCGATATGTTTTGGTTCTCTTTCCAAACTCGTATGTCCCTTGGCATTCTGTTGCTGCGTAACATCCTTCTGAAGGACGTCCAGTGGCTGACTTAGGACCTTGACCTCATCAATTATCTTTCCCACGATCGTAAGAATTTTTTTATTCTGAGAAAGGGTTGCGTGTAGTGCCGAGTCTCCAGTTGCTGTGAAGCCTAACAAAACCGGATGACCTCGGTCTCGGTTGGACAAAGGACATCTGGAACCCACCATGGGAGAGAGGTATCTTCATTGTTTCCATGAAACCCAATGTTCAGAAAATCTAAAGAGCCTATTTACTTAACAATCCACACGCAAAATCTATGTAGCATTGTCATAGCAGGGATCGCATGCCCTGAGCAGTTTTGCAGTCAGATGCCAACCCAAACAGCGCATATACGTAGTCTCTCGGGTCAGTACAGAGGAGGTTCCAAGTCATAAACAAAAGCATGGAAAGTGCGAATTTCCCGAGCCGAAGGAGGCTCACGATTGAAGTATTCTGCATCGCTCTACCTGCGCCCTTGTCGGTTGGGATCTCAGTGCTGGAGTGTTTGAACAAAATATTGCCATGCACGACGTGCTTCAAAACACACCAAGGAAGTGCCGAATAACCACAATGAACAATAAAATTCTGTGATAAGGCGACTTCTTGGATGGCCTGGTCTCATATTAACTTTTATAAGCTCTTTAAGAAACTGAAATTACATATTTTCTGTGGAACCACGGCCGTTGTAGCGACGATTTTAACGGTCCATATTCCCAATTCGGTGAACCACTTCTGGTTTTAACTAGATCATCCTGTCAAGGCAGTGTCAAATTTAAAACAATCATCTACCACAGTCGTAGCGGGGAAATGGTCTCGTATGATTTTGATCGCTCGAAAGGAATTTCCACCTCTTCAGTCTCCTCGCCGAGCCAGACCAGTGTCCGGAAAAATGATGAGTAAATCCGTCTTATCAACGAAATCTATTCACAACGTTCATCGATATTATCCTGGTTAATGGCTGTACTGCATTAATATAGTACGGCTCCTGCAGCGCGCTGTCAACCTTACAAATAGCATCCGCTCAGACGACTTGCTCGGTGTCCTCAGTGCGAAGATAGCGAAGAGCAGATTGCAAATTTGACGTGACTGATAAGGTTTTGTTGCCGCAGTGAATCTGTTCCTTGTTCCTGGTACCTCCCTAACATGGTATCTCATCTTAGGCGTCTCGGGGATATTCCATGTAAGATTAATAGATTTTTTCAGTTTTCAGCTGCCACTCTAAGACACAATTGAGCGGCGTTGGATATCTTATTCGGTGACCTTCGTGACGCATGCACTCGTTCCACACCCACCAACATGTACTCCTGGAGCCTTTGAGTTTGATATGGTCAATGAGGTGAGCCGTTTCATGATCCCCTGTTTGGGCAATGGAATAGGTAGGAACAGATATCACTTGAAAATTGGTTCTCGTTTCTCATTTGCGTCATCTACTTGGTGTGGTCTCTGTTGGTTCCTTCCGGCGAGTAGTTATAGGTTTAGCGAAATTGGTAGGTCCCACCTGCCAGTTCAAATGGAACCCCTCCCCCATCACTGCCATCTATAAAGTCCTTCGCTCCTTCTCCTTCCTCTTTCTTTTCACAACCCACTCGGATCGCAAAAACCAGATATCCGCCAAAGCCACAAGACAAAACAGAATCAGATACTTTGCTTTCCGATCCCAGGAGCAGAACAATTACAGCAACACACAACTTAGGATACAACTACCCAGCCAATCACACAGCACCATACACTCCGTACCAATATTAACCATATCTACCACCTTCACTAAGGACGAACAACTCGTCGTTGAGTAATTCACCTCCGAATTCCCAACCCAAGCTCCCCAAACATTAACCAACCGCCATCAGCCTGCGTGCAACCCTCACCTTCCCCAAGCAAGCAAACGCTCTCCGCAAGGGCGGTTACGCCACCCTCAAATTGAAGCTTTGGAAAATGCTCGAGATCAGAACCACAAAGCCAGTCAAGCACGGACACGCAAAATGCACGTTCAAGGGCCTGATCTTCGAGCACGCCGAGCTTAGGCAATCCCCTATTCTTAAGCGAACGCTATAAATAGCAAACCACGAATTCAGGACATATATGGCAAACCACGGGTAGCGGCACACCCAAAAGACAATGCATATAAGCATGCATCACAAGAAGTTATGACTGTAGCAAATATCTCGACCTGGCCGAGATAGAAGCCGCCTTGGGAAGAAGTAGTATTTTAAGAATCGGAGGAATTATAGTCAGGGCACGTGATATGATCTCATCCCACTCCTATAGGATCCCCGAGCTTCTCTCTTTATTTGAAGTGTCACAAACATCAGTCAACACTCTGTTGGCCACTCTCTTGTCGACACAAATAAGTGATCCGAACACGAACACGAAAGCGGAGATAACGTCAAAGTGCAATGTGGTGGAGGAGTCTGCAGGTGTGACTCAGAGCGTGAACAACCTAATACGGACATCTCCATGTCTATAAGATCAAACTCTCAATCTTCGAAAAACAGAATTGAATCTCAACCACATCTAAAATATCTCGTCCACGCGAATTCAACCCCGAGTTTTCACTTGAAGTAAGCAATGTCTCCACCGCCACGCCACGCCACGCACCACCCCTCTCTCCTTCACCTCCTCCCTCACTCATACTATCCAGACCATCTTCATCATCCACCAAAATGCAGCTCTCATTCGTGACTCTCGATGCCTTCACGAGTACCCGCTATACTGGGAACCCGGTTGCCATCGTCCAGGTCCCTGCTTCCATCGCCCCTAGTCTCACACAAGCACAAAAGCAGTCGATAGCCTCAGAATTCAACCTCTCAGAGATTGTCTTCCTGCACCTCCCAGAAGAAGGAACTGCTCCCACGGAGAGGAATATCGACATCTTCACCCACCAAGCCGAAGTCCCATTCGCTGGCCATCCAACCATCGGCACTTCTCACTACCTCTTAAAAACGGTTGGGGAGAGGGTCGACACCATCATCACAAAAGCTGGACCAATTCCTATCTCAGTTGACGAGCAGACGGGGAATGTGAAAGCTGAGATTCCGCAAGATTTTCATATTCATGAGGTTACCTACAAGTGTGACTTGAATGCAAAGGAAAACTCGACCATAAGCATCGCCAAGGGCATGAGCTTTATTTTCGTCAGACTGGAGAGCCTTGAGGACCTTGTAAAAGCGGACGAGCTCAAAAACTTGCATGGAGATACTTACGACCCATCCTCTCTTGACGAAGGATGGAAAGTCGGATTAGTGGGGACTATGTATTTCGTTGCCCAGGGAACGGATGAGCTTGGAAGAAAGAAATACCGCACTCGTATGTTTGGATCGAGAGAGGATCCCGGAACAGGAAGCGCGAGCTCGGGTTTGGGGTGTTACTTGGCTGGGCTGGAGGGGAAGGAGACTGGGAAGGGGCCTATTAAGTTTGTGTTTGAGCAGGGGGTGGAGATGGGGAGGCGGAATGTGATAAGTGTTGAGGTTACACGGGGTGAAGGGGGAGAGGGGGTTGAGAAGGTGGCCTTGAGTGGTGCTGCTGTTACTGTTATGGAGGGAAAGTTGGAGGTTTGAAAAGTCTCAAGTGCGGAATTTGTCATGTTACGCCTGATGTTCAACTTATACAAGTACACCCCCCATTACATGTATCAAGAACCATAATCCCCGTGGCAGACGATCAAACTACTAGCAGTACTCTAGAGATGTATGCGGTTCAATCCCTGCAATCTAACGCCGGCAACAAAGTTCAGCTTAAGGACCAAGTTGAAGAAGCACACTTATTTATCACGGCTCCATCCCAATCAGCCCCAGCCGTACCCATTCACCTTATTACTAGCTTCAATAAGCGTGCTCTGACACCACGTGGTAGCTTGCAACCAGCACCCGACCTTTCCACAGTGAACCGCATCTATCTTGCCCCCCGCCTTCTTGGATGGCCTCGGAGTATGCTTTCGAAACATTCGAAACAGGAGCGTCGAGTACACAAACCGGGAATGTAACCACAGAAACCAACGCATGTTCAGCGCAACTAGATTACCAAACCTGTCCTCCGAACCCTTCCGTCGCTATAAAGGTGGCGGTTTTAGGCGATCTAGGTGGCCGGATTGTACACTACCACATAAACGATCGAGGAAGCGAATTTCGGACCATAACAGTATCAAATGGCACAACTGCCCAGGAAAATCATACCCTAGTCTCATATTCGCCAGTTGCGTTTTAGTCTCTAGACATGAACAAGGGCCGCTTTTACCTGAGCTGCGAGTGGGCATGCCTGAGTCAGCCTGTGCGCTGTCCTGGAGCCTATTTTGGCCCCCTTTTCGCCCCGGCTTAGTTTACTTAGCCCAGAAGTCTGTTCCTGGTCTCTTTACACCTTGCTCTGCTTCCCTTCCTCCATCCACGCACTAAGTATATTAGCACCCTCCCTCCCCAACTTGTTTTCCTACCTGATATATCGCTCGCCGCTCCTTTTTGGCCTCAACGACCGTGCCAAACTCGCTAGCACGCCTCATTTTCAAGCCTTTGCCCCGCACTATTTTGCCCTTCCTGCAACGACATCTTCTTCTCTATATTGTCCTACGTTCAGGCCACCCTAAGCGGTTGGCTCACGGGGCTCCGTAGAAAAAACGGGTCATCTTCTTCTCTATATTGTCCTACGTTCAGGCCACCCTAAGCGGTTGGCTTACGGGGCTCCGTAAAAAAAAACGGGTTACGTAAGGAACACCAGAATCGCCCTCTTCTAGGGAATCGTACATCGGAATACGATTCCGTCCAAATCCTTAGGGCTCAGCTAGGGATTAGAGAGAAGAAGCTCAAGTACCTTTCTCTCTATTTTAGTGGTTCTGGAATACGAGGGGCTTTTCTTGCGATTTTTTAAAGCTCGGGGGAAAATCTTAAGCTAGGGGCCCTGTAAAAAGCACTAAAAAAAAATCCTGACCTTATATTACTCTCTTCTTCTTCTTCTCTCTATTACTATAGACCCTTCCCGCTTTTGTACTTCCTATAAGTAGAACCGGCCTGCTTCTGACTTTATTATAGAGCGGGCTAAGCCATATAAGACTTGCTCTTACTATCGAGTTTATATCCTCCTTCTTTTCTGACTTAATTAACCAGTTAATAGGCCCGAAATATTACTAATTATATCTAGCGGTACTCTGCCTTATAAGAACTCGATCCGAATACCCTTCCTATCTTCCGGTAATAATAACGGTCGGTTACGGACGTCTCTATAGACGAGCCAGCCCTATAGTACTAGTAACGGATCCGTTAACCGTCCGTTATAGCCCCCGTTTATATTATAGAGGACCCTCTAGCCGACCTATCTCCTATATGGTCTCCTGCCTTTCTTTCCTGCTTCCGGCCAGCTCCTATATATATAACCGGTCTGCTTATGGATTACTATATAGCTTGCGGAACCCTCTATTTTAACTATATAAATAATTACTTTAAGGCCTATTATAAGAAGGGTAATATAATATTTCCTCTAATTTATAAGCCTCCTCTATATCTCTCTTACCTCTTTATAGGCAATAACCTACTCTACTGGGCCTTCTAGACAAATATCCAGATATATAATTATACTTTTGCCTTTATATTAATTAGCTATAAGAAGAATACCCGGATTGACTTCTCCTATAGGATCTAGTATTTTCAGATCTATAATAAGCTCTTCTATTTCCAAGGCCTGCTATAGCCTGCTATATATACTAAACCCTCCTTTATATAGCTCTTCTTCTATAACCCGCTTTTTATAACTAATATCCGGGCTACTAACTTCTCTTACTTAGATTATATAGTTCTTTTATAGCTTATAGATATACTTATAGACTATAACCTGTTTATTATAGTCTATAAAACGGCCCGCAAGTATCTTATAAGCTAGTAAACCGATTTCCGGGTCTTACTTAACCTATAGATATACTTGATTCTCGAGTCAGGTATAGATTATTATTATAAGAACCTCCCTATAAATAACGAAGTTACTATCCTGATTCCGGATAAGTATATGGATACGAGCCGCTATAATCTGGTACTAATAGTCTATAAGATAGACTATAAGTATCTATAGCTATATATGATTAATATTATATATATAGTATATATATTACTCTATTATATTTTATTCTTTCTATATAGTAACCCAGACTAGTATTACGAGTTATAGTTATAGGACTATACCGGGACCCGCTAGTAAATATGGCTCGAATAGCGGGCCTTTTACTAGTACTACCTCTATATCCGTCTAGCCTTCTTCCTGCTCTTTTATACTAGCCGCCTCTTCTAGTAATATATTATTAATATATATATTGCCTATAAAATGACCTTACTTGACTAGCTCTACTTATACTAGTAGAATATCCGTATAGATATCTATATGAGACTTATAGATACTCTAATCTATAAGGATATCTATACGGGTAATATTAGCTATTACTTTATCCTCCCGTTAAGCTTTATAGGTAGTAATTGCTTTATATAATAGCTCTTTTAAGACTTAATAGCTATTATATAATACTTTAGTAAGCCAAGCTTCTTTATTATATTTATAGCTAACCCGTACTAGCCTGAAATTACAGATTATCTCTTAAACAGGTAGTAAGTAATTAATTGTCCGGATCTCTTCTACTAGGTCTTTATCCTAAAAGTAAGAGAGCTTCTTATAGACCTTAAGAACTACCTTTTCGGATAATATATAGACTATATATATATAATTGAGTACCAGAAGTATGGCCTCCTATATATATACCTGCTCTTATTTCTTAGGAGAGATACTATTTTCTTAACTCTTGATTTAGTTAATAAGGTTATTTATATCGAGCTTCTAGACCCGTTATAGGATCCTATAGGCGAATTTATGGCTATAGTTACTAGCCAGATATCTTACGGGCCGTATAGCCTTAATAATAATCCAAAAGCCCTATATATGGCCCGTAATATGCCTATAGCCCTGCTTATATACCAGAAGAGGTTCCCTAAGGTATTTATGGCTATAATAATTATCTGTAAGAATAGGTATCCCGAATACTAGTACCGGGATAATGGTTATATATTTATAGTCTATAAATCCGGTTTTCTAGGCCAGGAAGTTATCTGTAATAACTACTGGATTATTCTATATAACCTGTACCTCTTTTAGAAGTTCCGTTTATATATTAATATTAAGGTTTATATATTCGTATAAGTAATTAAATATATTTATAAATATATTTATAAAAAAACAGACTATATAACTATTACTATTTCGGGAATAAATAATAAGATTACCTAGTATTTCTAAGCTCGGTATATAGGCCCTATAGAGGCTTTCTGGTATCTATTCGAATACCTAATATATTAGGAGTTCTCTCTGGTTTAATACCTTATAATTCACCTTCCGGGATAGTATATAGTCTATTTTATAGCCGACCTCTTACCTAAGCAGATTACGGACCAGACTGCAAATACTCGTTTAATCTTAATAGCCTTCTTTAAGTATAATATAATATATGAGGACGGCTACTAGTATCTCTATTACGAGTTCCTATAGTACTTTATATAGGTTACTAAGACCCGGATATAGAAGCCCTATAAGTAAAAGTATAATATCGGCCGTATTTATTACTATAGCCTAGTTTTGGACAAGCGGTTTTACTTATAGCTCTTACTAATAGTTATATATAGTCTATAGTCCTTTAACGAGCTATATTTAGTTAAGGGTATCTGTTATCCTATATACTATACTACCTGTATTACCTGCGGCTTGGTAAAGAATAATTAGAAGTAGTTCTAGTACTTTAATAAGGCTATTTTATTAATGACTGGCTATGGTTTATAGATACTCTTTCTTATAGGTATCCGCTAGTAGCTAATTACGGATATATAAGTAATCTGGGACTAGTATAAGAAGTATTTCTATAATAACTTGGCCCGTAAGCTCGCCTATAACCCGTTAATTAACTTCCTACTACCCTTAGTTAATCCTTATTATAATTACGGCCTCTTTTTGCTTGGTCTCAGTCTTATAAATCTCTAGTAGATACTTACGGATATTACCTTGCCTGAGAATACCTTTAACTAGACTATAAGCTATTATATGGCTAATTTGCAGGTCGATTATACCTATAAGATATTACTAGTAACTGTAATACAAGCCTAGCTAAATATAGACTAGTACTCTTGCTTCTAGACAATTATAGTAGTAATTATAGATAATTTGCAGACTGCCTATTTCTACTTATAAGGCCCGGGCAGGACCGGTAAGATGTTCCTTTATAAGACCCTCTATTATTATTACTATAGCCAAGGTAAGGTAGTTCTATATATGGCATTAATAGGTATTACGGCTCTCCTTTTCCCGGACGGATATATGTCTTACTCCTAGTTCCGGATCCTATTCGAGCTTAATAAGTTATCTATAAGTATAATTACTAAGACGAGCCGGCTCGGGGCTCTTTTGTAATCTACGGACCTAATTATCTGGGACGAGATACCTATATAGTATAAGTACTACTTTAAGGTAGTATACCGGCTAATAGTCGATTTATAGTTAGTTGCGGATAATATTCTTTTTAGAAGGGTACCTGTAATCCTCAGGAAGAACTTTGCCCAGATCTTACTAGTAGTCCTATATGATTTGCAGGCCAATATAATATAGGCCTGCCTATAGCGGATATAGATCTAGCTATGGCTCCGTTAGCTATTATTACGGATTAATATACGGGTCTATAATAACCTATTAGAGCAGGATTTTATAGACTAGATT